TATATATATATATATATATTAATTGGATTATCTTTATGTCAAACATTTTTAAAAAAATTTGACATTTTATTTTTATATTAATCCTTTTATCAAACATGCATTTTATGTTGTTCGTAGAAACTTCAGACTTGTAGTTTACATGATCAATTTTGTTGAAATATATTAATTTGAAAGAGCATAAATCAGTTATCTTTCTTAATATTAGTTAAAAACATATATTAATTAATTAATTTCAAAAGATAATATATATCTTAAATGTTTAATTTAACGTCATTTATAAAGTTTCCTATTTTTCTAGTATAAATTTTAAGTAAATTTTTTTTTAATTTTTAAAATTTAATATAATTTTATGATTGCAATCGTGCATTCAAACTGAACATGTGTAATTATATTGTGACATTGAAACAGGACATGTGTAATTACAGTGTAATTGCACAGAGATAACCAAACATGTTAGTTTAATTACAAGACTATATAATTACTAGGTTGATAATTACTACCCTAGTAAAACAGAAATCTATAATATGTTTGGTAGGTACTAGGGTAGTAATTATCGCCTAGTAATTACACTGTCTAGCAATTACACTGATCTGTTTTGTTGCCACAATGTACATTGTAATTACTCATGTCCTGTTTGGATGCCACAATGTAATAATTACACATGTTCTCTTTGAATGCACAATTGCAATCATAAATTATAATAAATTTTTATGATAAAAATTAATTTTTTAATATTTATACTAGACAAATAAGAAACTTCATAAATGACATTAAATTAAATATTTAAGATATATATTCCATTTTAAAAATAAATTAATTAATAAACATATTTTATGTGACTAATATTATGAAAATACAATAGATATATATATTTTTTCAAATTAAGATATTTCAATTGAATTGATTGTAACAACTTTTAATATGAAGTTTCTATAAACATCGTGATATGCATGTTTGACAAAAAGAATAACATATAAATAAAATATCATAACTTATTAAATGTTTGACAAAAATATAATCTATCAAGTCCAATTAAAAAAAACGTTCAATATAAATTCAATATTTCTAAAACAAATGAACTGAAAATATAACATAAGTTATAAGTTCAAAACAAAAATTTTAAACATAATACTCTTATAACAAATTTCAACATAACAATAAATATGATTTATTTTTATTTTATCTTAATAAAAAAACGTAAGTCTTTAACCTTACTTAACAATAAATTTTATTTTATTTTAAAAAATAGAAAAGTAATAAAATTATGTCAATGAGAAAATAAGTATGACATAAATTAATAGATAATACAAGAAAATTTAAATAGAATTAGGTAAAGTAAGGTTGAGAACAAGAAGAAAATAAAATATGATGATAAAAAATAAAAAATAAACTTTTACAAATTTTTAGAACAATAAAAATAAAAAAATTAAAACAAAAAAATAAAAATAAAAATTAAAAAATTGAAAAGTAATCAGGTAGTATTTGCACTATGTAATTACTAGCAATTCACAGTCTATGCCTGTGAATTGTAGAATGTAATTACACCCTATCAATTACACCAATTACCTGTTCAACAAGTAATTACATATCCTTCCAAACATGATATATTAATATAATTACTCCAAATTCAATTACCAGAGTGTCCTTCCAACCAGACCTTTAGTAAAAACATCATCAAAATCTACCTTCTAAAATAATAAGAAACTACTACTTATACTAGGACTAGGATAGAAAAGGAAGATACAAGCTATTATTATTTTCTCTCTAAGAGAAGTAGTGCTTGTTTGGTTGTCTTCCTATGGGATGATATGATGAAAATTTATCATGAGGATAAAATAGATCATGGATGCTATGTTTGTTTTTAAACCGGTCATGGGTGGGCTAAATTGTGAAACATGAGTGGACTTTTTGATTTTGGGTAAGAACCAAAATATATTGCACATGTCTTTCAGCTTGGCTTAGGGATATATATGATCAAACGTATGATGATAAAGAGCATATTCAACCCCAAAGTATCAAGGATATATGCATACCATTTGTAATAGTTCATGGGTATATTTATCCTGCAAATCTCCGCAAACTGTAAACAAGACCTGTCGATCACACAATGACACACTACAAAACAAATATTTACAAGGCATACTCTCGATATTCACCAGCTAATTGAAAACTTTGGGTACTCTGCTAACAGGAATTTCAAAAATGTTTTTTCAGTATTGTGTCTCTGTTCTTTTGTACTCTTGATACCTAATTAGATCTTAGTTTCAGGTATCAAGGTTAGAAACTGCACAAATGATGTTACAAAGCAAAGGATGAACATGATGCTAATGGAAATTTACAATTGTTCAGAGACCAAATCTAAAAGGTTTTTTGCCTCTAATAAGAAAAAAGCAGGGATTTCGACAAATTTAAATCTGATGCTGTGGGTTGGAAAAGGTTCAAAATTTCCAAGCAGCTTTGGCATGTACGATCAGTAAGCAAAATCTCAGTCGACGTACATTTTGCTCTGCTAGCCACTTTTCTGAGCAAGCTGCTCGGTAGCCTACTTGTCCATGGCTTTCCTTGCTAGCTCATATCCAGCAAAATTCATCGCACCCAGAGGTGCAATCCAGAAAAATCTAGGAATGGCCCCTTTAAACAATCCAAGGGGTCCTTCATGACGGAGAATTGATAATGCAACCATCGTTGACGTCACAGCCATTCCCTGTGGAGCAGTCATCATTCTGGTCTTTATCACATCAAATGGAGTCGTTGAAACAGCTGTCAACCCGCCAGATAAAGCTCCAACGGCAACTGTTTCCCAAGGCTCCAATTCTCTCCCCAGAAGCTGCTGCACAGCCTAGAATAAACACAAATGATTTTTATCAATAAGAAATGAATGTAACACAGCTTTATATCAAACAAGCAATTTAGTGGTTGATTATGACCTTGAATAATGTCAAACGGCCTTTCTTGAAAAGTAAATATCAGAAGGTTCATCGACAGACAGCGACACGATACAGTATACAAATTTTAAGCTCGAGGGAATGAGTTTATAACATGCTAACAAATTTATTTACTTTCATGCATCAACAAACCCATACAGCAGATTTAATAAAGAAGCCGTTGATCCAGCCAACTGCATCTCAGAAAATTGCACAAATTTATATAGCAGAGACAGCATCCAGAGTATTCTGAAATACTTTATATTTCCTCTTCATCCCATTTTATAGGTGTTTTAATTGGACATGAATTAGAATGTTAATTTGACAAATGTATTAGGTAATGAAACAAAATATAGATGAGATGTATAGGATACATGTTTGTGGACATTTCTCAACTGGGACTCCTTATAAAAGAATCTTAATCTACTACAAGGAAATAACTACTCTCTACCTATAATAAGGTAAGTAGTTATTATCCTAAAAGAAGAAGAAACAGCATATAATATATTTTATAATATTCAGCTATGCAAATGCAAGGACTACAGAGATTTACTACAGAGATATTGTAAACTTACAAATATTTACCATATCACTACATTTGCTTTTCTTGATTATCAACATGTTTTTCTGAAAATATGTAATATTAATAGCTGAAAAGTTAATTTGATAGGTTAGATAAACATCACATCAAAATTAAAATTTGAATTTTAATAAGTGAAAATTGGGAAGTCGACAAAGAAAACATCAAATTAAAGTTTGAAATATGAATGATTGAAAGCTAAGAATTGCACAAAATAATATCAGAAGTGGAATGGTATCTAATATTTTGGAACGTTCCAAGTGGAAGAAATATCATACTGTAGCGCTAAAAGGAAAAATAATACAGAAAGTCAGAATAGCATATGCAATTAACATCGCTCCAGGCAGTGCACACCAAAACAGATGAAGCTAAACCAACAAAAGCCACTTCTAGCACCCCATACTGGGGCATGATTCACTGTCCATTTGAAATTACTCCTTGTGATTTTTTTCTTTTTCTCTTTACTTAGAAGTACTATTAACTCTTCTGTTCCGTCTGTTTTTTTTCTTTATCTTTTGTTGTTTCTATGATACAGAATGTACATCTGTTACTTTGCAACAATAACAGATCATAAAACTACAGAATTAGTCAATAGTTAGATGCTCCACAGAGTTATCACTACTAGACAGCCTTTTTTCTAGTTGGTATTTGCTAGAGTCTCACATTGGTTGAGAGAATGAGTTGTCGTCTCCTTATACAATATTGGGCAATCCTCACCTGATGATTAAGTTGAATTAGGCCCGATATCATTTTACTTAACTTGATAATAGATCTTAGACTCGTTCTTTTTCCTAGTTTACACAATGTTGGGCCTCCCTTGTTATAATGTTCACACTCTAGAGGGTGGTATTAGAGTACCATATCATTTGAGGAAAAGGGTTGTTATCTCCTTATAAGGTCTGGGGCAATCCTCGATCATGAGCTTACCTATGGATTTAAGTTAGACTTAATATTCATTGTCATAACAGTGTCACGAGTTAATGCCAGCTCTTTTAAAGAATTAATTGCTACCTGGAATGGTACTATGATCCCCAAAAAAATAAATGGTGAGGTACTTCCTCATATCACACTTTGTACTTAATCTGAATAGAGGAGAATCCCAGATGATTCACAGATTATAAGGCTGATTCACACAAGAGTGTAGATGCTTCTGGCTCCTTCAGTTATGCCGCAGAATAAAGGCATGTGAGGAAAAATTCTGGAATTTATGAATTCTCTATCCATACCGTAGGTCTTGCTCTGTTCCTTCAATATATTGTTTTCTGATTTTCAGTCATATCTTTGTTATTATTATATCAGCTTTTATAGTAAAAAGAATAAACTGATACTGGGAAAGGATTTAGTAGGGAAAAAACTCATAAACATTAAGGATAATGCAAACTTAAAATAAATGCAAAATCACCTTTTTGGACTCTGCATATAGGCCCATGCCTACGACATAAAATGGAATCTCACGGCAGAGAGTGGCACCAGTTCCACGGAAAAAACCCTTAAGACCATCTTGCTGCCAGGTACCAATGATTGCTGCCCCAACATTGTCAAAAAGACCAGCTTGCAATCTTTGCTTGAGCACCTCACAGGGTATTCTCACAGCAGTACCTAAGAAAGTGCTGCAGAATGATGCCACAGATTGAACCTAGACAACATTTCATTAACAAAAAAAAAAAAGAATAAGTAACTTCCTTTGTAAATCCAAATAAATAAAGAAGCTCGTGTTAGCAAATGATCATGTGTAACATGATAGTGTTCAACTAATTGATACCAAATCCCTTATTTCTTTGATACGTTCAAGCCTTCTTATGTAGATACTACTATGGGGTACATGAAACAGCATAAAAGGTGGCATCCAAGAACATCAATTTGACTAGAGCATCAAAATCAGGAAGGTGGGGCAGAGAGAACAAGCACACTGAAATGTGTGAAAGAAAAATATTGTATCATTGTTGTTTTTATCTTTCCTTCATATCATAGAAGCTCACCTACCTTCTAAGAGAAGTTCTTTAGTCCCATTGAAAGATGAGAAGACCCCATGGACACTTGGATAATTTAAAAGCATAAGAAGTGTCCTTCAAAATTCAACCTAATATGAGTAGTCCTTTTAAGTCAACAATTGTGTTTTGTCCCTAGGATGCTTAAAAATGGAGGACATATGCCGACGGAAATCATTAAACAAATTGGGCACTCCAATGAATGGAACCATCAGAAGGCAGAACCAACTGGGTGCCACCTTGATTCCAAATGAGAACCAGATAAACCACAATGAAAGTCTCATAGGCTGAAAAACAATAACTGAAGGAACAAACAAAATGGTGGTAGTAAGAAGAAGCTCCCAGGGTTTTGGTCTAGTGGTAAGAGAGAAGGTTGAGGGGCAAGCCTATTATCCACCGAATTCTAAACCATACAAGTTGCAACACTTACCCTCAAGGATTTCTTGGTCACTAAAAAAGGCGGTAATAAGGTCTCAACTAGGCATAATGTAAATGGATAGAACTAAAGTAGAGCAATAGTAAAAGAACATTGATGAGAAAAACAAACTTCCTTTCAAATAAGGAAACATCATACTTCCTTCGGAATAGCAAAACAAACTCTCTAGTCATTGTGTAGGTAGCTCAAGAATTCTATGGGCATATCTAAGACATAAACGTTGAAAAAGTTGATATATCAAATTTGTCTACGACAAGACATTTGAAATGTTGTCAGCACAAAGCTGATATGTCTTCCATTCTACAAAATTTAAGGTCCAACCTTTTTTAAAACATTACCCTAACTAAACCAATTGCCAACTTTATCAAGACCTACCAAATTTAACTTCACAGGCTCCTACTAAATTACATTTGTAAAACCAGTAAATGGCTGCAAACTACAACTACTTAAGCTCTCAATAAGCGTGCAGAGAATAGGCAGGGAAGGCATACAGAATTTAGGGATGTGTAGACGTGCTTTATGATGAAAGCAGCTAGAGGTATGCCAATAAAGACAAGACCATGTGAAAGATGTTGATTAATGTGAAGTACTCGATTGGTTACCAGAATACATGACTCTTCCTAAGGAACGATTCTGTAAAGGTAAACGGTATACCAAAGGGAAGAGCGGACTTCTCAAAGCCCTTCTGGTTCTTGCTGAAAAATGGAAACAGAGTCCGGTTTGCTTTTGAAATTTAGATCCTGTTTGGCATTGCTGCTAAAAGTAACTTATTATTAGAGGCACTTTTTAAAAATGACTTATTAGAGAAGTGCTTTTGAAAAAAAGTAATTCGCATTTGGCTAATTCATTTGAAAATTTAAATTTAAATTTAAAATTAAATTATTTTATAGAGAGAAAATATTTTAAATATCTATTATAAGAAAATTAATTAAATATTTTTAAATTAAATTCTGCATGTTTAAATATTCAATCAATATTACACCTTTTTTGAAAGGCTGAAATCTTTGGTTGTTATTTTTTTCTTTTTTCTGATCTTATAAAAATATTGACGTTACCTTTTTCTAATTCTACAAAATAATACATACAATAGTATATAATATATAAACGTAAAATATATTATATAAAAATAAAACAATAAAATTTTAAATGAAATTTATCCAATGCTTATTAATTAATAAGAAATATATTGGTAAATATGTATATTTTAGCCTTGAGAAAAAGAAATTGTTTCTGCTTCTACTTCTCTTAAAAAGCAGAATTTTTTAGCTTCTCCTAACAACAGAAAAACTGTTTTTGCTTCCTTTTAAAAGCACTTCTACTGATTTGCCAAACACTTAATTTTTCAATAAAAATGTATTTTTCTCAAAGCAAGTGTTTCGGCCCTCTCAACAGCAATGCCAAACAGGCTCTTAGTATGGTGAATATTGATGGCTCCATGGGCAAGAGTGATGCTATAGAAGCCCCCTAAGAAGACTATCATAAAGGTCTTAAGTTAAGGAGTTGCAAGCCAAAATTGTTGAGATTAAATGGAAATCAAGAAGATGCTTATTATGGAAGAAAAGCCCAAGAACGAGTCCATGAATTGTGGATAAAAATGGGCCAAGTGCTAGACATATTTTATGGTTCAAGTCCAAGCCCAAATGAAAGAATATTGGGGCCCAAATGGGGCTGAAAATTCTGCCAAAAGGGAGGACAGTTAGGTCAAATTTGGAAACTTCTCCTTCTTTCTTTAGGGAAGAATTTTTGCTATTATTTATACATGCTATCCTTGTTTAAAGTTTCCTATTTAGATTTTATTCATATCTATCTATCGACACTACCTTAAAACCATGAACTCACTAACTTGAATGTTAAATTACTATAATACATCAACTTAAAACACCCAATTTAGTATAGATTCTATGTTTATATTTTATTTATTTATTTATTTATTTATTTGTTCTATATTATATTAAAAGCGGACACCATTTCACAATGATGGTTAGTGAATTTTTCAAAATGGTTGTGACTTTTTCTATAGAGTAATGATTTTTTCGATGAATTATCACATTTCCGAGAAGTTGTGGTTTTCCTTGCGGGCTTATCTGATAAGGCACAATAAGCACCTCTTGATATTATCTTTTGTTGTCTATAATAGAGAGATGTTCTATGACTTTTAAACTACAAATTTTGTAAATTTTCTGCTCTTCTTAAAAAAACAAGGAAGACAGTGATAGTTATTGAATTATGCAGTTACAATATCTTTTGCGGGTAAACTAGACAGATTAACAAAAATAGATGCAACACGGAGAATGGAATAACATAACTTCAAACAGGAAGACTATCTAAATAATTAATATATACTCATTTTCATAGCCATAAATATACTTTTGCAGCAACATCTACTTGACAAGAAGTTCAATGATTTTCTTTGCGCAAACTGCAACTTGGTGTGCAAGCTGTGTAAGTCTCAAACTGTTGCACAAATCTATACCTATCTTTTTTTTTAATCTAATGAACTGCCTAACTTAAATATTAAATTATTATAGTACCCCCAACATAAAACACCAAATTTAGTATATCTTCTAAAATAATATAATATAAGCAAATAATATAATACAATACAAAATATAGAAGATTGTCAAAAAAAGTATATCTTCTATATTTTGCATTGTATTATATTTATTTGTTTATATTATATTATTTTATATTAAAAAAGACACCGTTTCACATTGAAGGTTAGTGACATTTCCAAAGAGTTGTGATTTTCCCAATGAGTTACAACATTTTCGAAGGGTTGCGACTTTTCTACAGCGTTGTGACATTTCTGAAGAGTTGTTATTTTCCCGAAGGGTTGTAACTTTTCCAAAGAATTATGACTTTTCCGAAAAGGTTGAGACCTTTTTGAAGGGTTGTGACTTTTCTAAAGGGATGTGATTTTTTTAAGAAGGCATAATAAAGCAATTTTTCATAAACTACCCCTTGTTGGCTATAAAAAAGAGGGTTTTCCTCAAACTTTTCAACTACAATATTTAATGTTTTTCATTGTTCTTCTTTTTGGAACACCCAATTTAGTTTCTACATTTTATATTATATTTAGTGATTTATATGATCTTATATAAAAAGAAGATACCAGTTCACATTGAACGGCTTACTTATCCAAAGAGTATTAAATTTTCTAATGAATTGTGACCTTTAAGAAGGATTGTAACTTTTACAATGAGATAACACATGCACATACTTGGACTACCTTTTTTTAACTATAAATAGAGAGGTTCCCTCACATTTTTAAACTATGATTTTTTTATGTTTTCTATTCTTTCTTCCTAAAAACTGAAGTTTGATTTACAGACGTTAACAATCTCAAAGTTCACTGAAATTCGAACACTCCCTAACATGAATATGAAATTGATATAATACTCCAACTAAAAGCACCCAATTTAGTACAACTTCTATATTTTATATCAATATTTATATATATTTATATTATATTATATTATGTTAAAAGTAAGAACTCCACCAATACATTAATAACTAAGTATGCAGTATGGGAGAGGGCTGAGAAATTATATTTAAGAGATGTAACTAAGAGATTTTTTGAGTGACTAACTTTTAGTACTAATAATAAGAAAGTGTACATCCACTATTCATAGAATTTTATACTCTATTATTCATTTTATAGTTTCTTGCAAAATAGTTGTAGTACATTGGTTGATATTCACGTGCAACGCCATGCGTCAAAACTAGTTTTCATAAAAATAGATTTTAGTCCCATCTATTTGGGATAGTGTTCCCCCCATATCTAGGGGAGGATATTGTTATATTTTAGAAGTCAACATAATTATTAATTGAGAGTTTCTCTTCTTTTACACCTGTGTAGCTACTTGGAATTTATTTTACAAACTTTATAAGAGTCTTTAAGAGGTAGACTAATTCTTCAACTTGATATCTTTGGTTCTTATTCGTAACTTTAAGAAGGTATTTAGTCTTGTACTAATTATTATTTCTAATTTCTTCAAAATATGGGTCTTAAGTCTCTTAGATTACTTTTTAATCGAAATTCTTGAATTGACTCAATTAGTATCATTAATTAGCTTTAATCCTTTGTTTTTAAATACTAAGATCAAGCAGGGTTCTTCGTATTTATTTTGAAATTTGGGGATTTTATTCTCAAATTTCACCTATCTTTAATTTCTTTTCTTTAGTCTTAGTATTTTTGCTTCCGCATTATTTTATTGTTTATTCAATTAACTCGATTCTTATCAAATATACACAGAAAAATGTTTTACTACGAATATTTTCACTAGCAAGTGACAAAGATGGTAAGTAGCTAAGATTTGAGACGGCCCTCACCTATCACAAGAGAATCTTTCAAAAGTCCTAACCCCTTCAAAACTAGGCATATGACGATGTGAAGTCATTCTTGTTTTGTTTTCCGGGATAAAGTAATAAATTAGAAAAGGGAAAAGCTTGCTAAGGGTGCACCAAAAAGAAATAAGGAATCCTAATCCATGTAAGTGCTAAAGGAATCCTAAGGGTGCACCAAAAAGAAATAAGGGAAAATAGGTCATTCTTAAGTGTACAAAGTCTTTCAGAGTTCTTCTATTCCTCTCTCACCATCTAATCCATGTAAGTGCTAAAGGAGCAACGTCTCATTCCCTACAACTTCTCCTCCTTCTCCTAAATGCTCAACCTAAGTTGCTCAAACTCGGGCACAGGTATTCGATACTGGTGCAGATCTAGAGGTTGGATACTCTACGATTTGAATTTTAAGATTCAGGGATAGGGATACGGATCCATGTATGGATACGGGTGCAAGGATTTGGCTAAAATAATTTCATTGTCTAACAATGGAGTTATAAAACCTAAATTATGTGATATTATGGGGAAGACTGAGAAGAAATTATTGATCAAGAGGGCACTCTCATTTTTTGCACATAAAACACAAACGAACACATTTTTTCTTCCACAAATTCTCCACTGTTTGGATCACTCCTCCTGTAGCTAGTCAAGTGAAAATACATACCTTTCTCGGTACCCTAGGGATCTATATATACCGATGCATGTGGAAAATCACTCTCTTCCCTAATTAGAAGCTTCACAATAATATGACTTCACTAAACAAATACACAAATACCATGCCCCTCACCCTCCATCTCCATACATCGTAGCTACCAATAGTAGCTTTTTGTTGGTGAAGCAAATCAAGCAAGTTCTGAAATTCTTCAAACTCCCTATCTTGCAAATTTCACCAAAACCTAAAAAAATCCCAAAGCAATTCTCCTTTGTATACTCCAAATCACCTATGTTCCCAAAAGCTCACCTTGTTTCCATCACCCACCCTGAAATCTATACTCATTGAACTCTTCCCACCACTTCAAAATGTTTCTCCATAAGCCACATTCATATGGGAGTGAAACATTTTTAGTCCTCCAACCTTTCCAAAATTTCATACTTCTCACCAATAACTCCTCTACACAAAGCATTCACTTCCACCCCAAATCTCCATAACCACTTTCCCAAATGCCCACCCCATCACCAAGTGAATCTTTCTTTCCACACTTGAGCTATCCCAAATATCTCTGAAGCTTTTCCATCATTTTGGTAACACTGACTGGGGCGTGTAATAAAGACATGAAATATGTGCAAATGCTTGACAACGTACTCTTCTTGTTGAGATTATATAGCTACATTGTTTATAGAATTGGATAAAAGTGAGTGGGGAGAAGCATCCACGCAGCGCTTCTCAATTTAAGTCTTACGGGTTGTTTTGACCACTGATAACCCAAGGAGGAGCATATACATAGTGGTTAGTTCACTTGCCGAAATTGGGGGACGTCAACCACCTCATACTTCATTGCTTCTCAGAGTTCTGGGCTTTGACATATGCAGCTTTAATGTTTTGACATTCATCGGGTGCTCCTAGAATAGAGATGGATATGATTCCAAAGTAACTTGCCTTGTAGTTGTAGGAAGAAACTAAGGAAGACCTTGCCTTATTGTACTTTTGGTTATTTTGGAGAGAAAGAAATAGGAGAACGGAGAACCTTTGATCAAGTTGAGAACCTGATGTCAAGAGTCCAAAGTTTTCTTTCATTTAATTTTGTATTTTTGGTGCAAAGTGGTGGGAATACCTGCTTGCATGAATAGCCACAACACATTTTGTAAAGATGACACCATCTTGGTGTGGTACAATTGAATTGCTTTAAACTTATCTGAAGAAAACTGAACAGTATCATGTAGAAGAGAGGGAAATTCCTAGGAAGGAATCACTGCTAAGCTGTTACCTGTAGCTCTGGAAGTGTAGGAGCAATATTAATCAGCACAACCTTGCTTGCTTCAAAAATTCCAGTCCGCAGTCCATGGCTGCAATAATCAATCAAGTTGACAATTCAGATACAGACAAGGAAATTTTTTCCAAGATAGAGGAACAAAAAAAGAAAACAACTAACCTTGAAAACTGCCCTAGAATAGCAGGAATCGAACCTCTGTACAATCCTCTTGCTCCAAGTTCAGGAAGCTTTGATATTATTTGTGGAAAGGTTAGTGTTGATGCTTGGACTTGTGTCTGAGGAACCAGCCAGAAATTTTAGAATGTCATTTTCACTCTAATAATATCGCTTATTAATTTTCTAAATCAACTTCATTGTACCCAACTACACCATTAGAATAATGCCACAAATGACCGACTTATCACCTTGATTCAGAGTTACTTAAGCTTCATTGAATACCATAATGTAAATCACAAATAATACAATAGGATACTTTCCAGACATAGCATATGTAACACCAAACAGGAAAAAGATCAGATGGAAAATACAACCTTGCAAAAATTTAATTACCTGTCAAGAAACTGGTAAGAAGAAATTAAACATCTTCGCAGGAAAAACGTCAGCAATAATAAGAAATTATATACTCTAACAACATCTTCCCCATACTTAAGAACGTATAATAATTTTAAATCATAGTTTAACAAAAACACAACCCAGTTATCAAGCTTCTGAAGTATTAACAGAGCAAAGATGTCATATGTTTTGCTATAACACCCTCTAAAGAGACCTTCCTGTTCACTCTGTCTTTCTCCTTTATTAGACTTCGTGACCAAGAAGGATAAATTGTCTAAAACAACGATTTTAATTCTAAACGGTGTAGATACAGGCTTGCAACCAGATATGTATAGTACAACTACCTAACCTCTATATGGTGTGCTGGAGGTAAAGGAAGAGAAAATTAAAGCAAATAAGTCTGTTTACTATCATATAAAACAACAAACACAGTCGAGTACTACCTCGTTTCCAATAAACTACACCTAATTTTACCAATTACTAAGCTCATAAGATGTTACATTGACTGTGTTATATAATGGTCATAAATGTGATGGAAGTGGAATCATTAGTTACTAAGATGTTGTATAAAGTCTGAAGTATCATGAACGTTATGTTGCTCGGACTCTTCAAAAATTTCAATGGGTGCGTCTCGGATTCACCAAAGGTAGTGTATTTTTTGGAGAATCCGACACGGGTGAGGCATCAAAAGTGAAGAATCCACGCAACTATCAGAACTGGTATCAATTTTATAATAGTTTGAAGATTTTGGAGGAATACTTTTCATTTGCCGGAAAAAAGAGTCATACTTTTGGCACAAACCAAAAAGGAAGTAAATTTTCTTTGGCAACAAAATAGCTGCCTCTTCTAAATTGTTTACCAAGATTATCTACTCACATTTTACCTTTCTAGGTATCTTTTTATACTGGAAATTCAAACAATAACACCATTTATCATTTACACAAGAAGGCAATAAGTAACTGACTGCTCTAGAATATGATAGAAACTCAAACAAGCAAATGCTTCTGGAAAACAAAAATACCTTAACTGTATCCACGGGGTGCATTAACGCTGTAGACAATGCACAGGAAAGTCCTCCTGCTAATGCTGATTTCAGGACATTTCCAGCAGGAATTTCTACAGGTGGAGGAACAGCAACCACTGTGGCAGCCTCAAACCAGATATTTCTGTACGTTACACACCACCAAAACACCAACATATGCAAAAATGTTTAGAAACCGATGTATGCCTTGAAGTAAAACTCCATAGTATCAATTAAAGAGATAGTAACAGTCAGGCTTTGCAATAATAACAATTGCATGTACCATCAACAAAATAATGGTTAGACAGACAAAATATGGCAACTGAACTTGTCACGTGCATCTACATACAAGAATGAAAAATTGATATCAAGAATATAACAAATTTTGATCTGAAATTTACTAACACACATCTTCCGCCGTTTTCTAATCGACTATTAAAACATTCCACTTACAAAATCTATCTCATCATACTATTTGTTCTACATCTCTTTTCTTTTCGCTAATTTTGTGCTTCAACATTCTTCAACTGCAAAATGTGTCCCAAATATCAAGGTCCCTTTCATCTGTAGACAGATGCTAATTGCTATACTAACAGCAAAAGGGACCCAAATGCATCAATTTGCTTCCTTTCTTTTGAGTTAATTTAAGGGGAGAGATGTAGATCGTCTTTACATGAACAGCAATTGTTATTTAACTCGATGCTTAATTTATTTACTATGTGCAGATACTGCCTTTACTTTGCTAATTTATTTACAATGTGCAGATAATGCATTTACTTTGCTAATGTGGATACTTTTCTTTTGTTGTTGTTGAAACTGGTAATGTTGCTAATGTGGATACTTCCAAATGCGGTAAAACCATCAACAGACTTTGAAGCAAAAGCGGAGGTCGGAACATGAATGAGCATTGCATGTGATTCCCTTAAAGCAGGTGGGAACAACATGCTGAACTGTACAGCTTTTTCGAAAGGAAAGAAAATCAAGTTCTTCAAGTGCAGATGATCTAATCACTCCAGGCATATTCAATGGTGCACAACTATAGTCCATGTGCAACCTGGAAAACACTCTTTTCCAAATGCGGTAAAACCATCAACAGACTTTGAAGCAAAAGCGGAGGTCGGAACATGAATGAGCATTGCATGTGATTCCCTTAAAGCAGGTAGCAACAACATGCTGAACTGTACAGCTTTTTCGAAAGGAAAGAAAATCAAGTTCTTCAAGTGCAGATGATCTAATCACTCCAGACATATTCAATGGTGCACAACTATAGTCCATGTGCAACCTGGAAAACACTCTTTTCTATGATAAATGATAACCAAGACATTCCCAAGAGCCAACTGGGGCACGATTTGAAACTCAGTGGATAATGGAACTGCACCTCTACCCTTCCCAACTAAATACCATGGTTTGTACACAGAATGATTAAAACTCATGACATGTGCGGAACCCACATATCGCGATTTGCACTCTTACCATTGAGCTAAAGCCCTAGAGGCTAGGGAGGAACTCCTTTGTATAGGGATCTGCAGTTATGTAACTATATTATAGGGGATCTTACCGTCAATTGCCGACTAAAATTGACTCATACAAAAATATATTTTCAAAAGGGGGAAATATTAAATGCCCTCAAATTATAATCTGAACTCTCCGATATAGAATTGCTGGATGTTTCTCACATCTGTTGTGTCTCTTGCTACTACTTCTGTGATGAGGCAAAACTATAATTAAGATCATAATGTCTCAAAATTGACAAAATGTAGAAGAACAAACCCAGCAACTTCCAAAACCCAAAACTTTTGTATCCTCAAGTCATATCTTTGGAGAAGTCCCTGTATTACATGAATTTTGATGATATATAAATATCCTAATCAGATATTTCCATAAGTCCATTTATGTTTTTCATGTTTTGCTACAGGTTACAGAAGAATGCAAGAATATCATCTTCAATAGTATAGCAAGGCTGTAAATAGCCATGTTCATTGCTGGTCTTCATAAATAAAGGCAATGTTTTCAGCCCAAAACTTTGATAATCCATCTCTTCCTTTTTACAATTAGACAACTGCCGTTCTCAACAACCATTTATCCAGTCGACTTATACAATGTCCCATATCAGACACACAAGGGCATCTAAAGGGGTAGACATTATAAAACTCAACATATACCATCTGAGTAACTTCTTTTTCCAAGTTATGCCCCAACAACATCTTTTCTAGTTGCATTTGCACCAGCATAAACATGAACAGTGATTAATCTCGTGCAATAGTACCACTACTACTAGCAACTGATCTTCAGATGATCAGGCAATAGGAGACATGATTAACAGTTGAATATTGTCTTAAAAAGAATCGCACAGAGAAGCTTCTAATCAACTCACAAAAAATCTAGCTTCCCCAACCAAAACTTGGGATGTGTTATGCAATGGAACCCAAAAGCTGGCTTTCCACCAAAGCAAACCTAAACAAGAAGCTCATAAATGTAACTTTCTTTTATATTCTGACATCTTTCTGTTTTATATACTAACAAATTCTCAAATGCCATGATATATCATATCATTATAAAAAGGTAAAGATATTCTACCGAGGATCTTCTTGAAGCCGATCTGATGGAAGCAGCAGCATAAAGTTCCGGAAATGTCCATAGGAAATAGACTCCTCTGCATCCGCACTTAGAAATCGCATCATGGCAATAGCATTGTCTTCATTTGCTGGTAGTCCTGCATTGTTTAGTGAGGCAAGTATCTCACTCTTCTGCAATGTGCCTGACTTGCTCAAACAAAGACTGGTATAAGCCCGCAGGATGGTAGGCTCCTTCTGTTCCATCAACGAAAGAAATTGTTTCCACCCAAAAGATTTTGAGAACAAGTGACTTCTAGCACGACGCATGAGTTCATGGGCATATCTCTTTGGCAACTTTCTCTTTCTCATAGCAATTTCAAGATCTTCCAACGTGACTTGACCATCACCATCTCTATCCAATTCCTCAAAGAATCTCTTCCCTGCAAGATTACAACACAAAACTAAGGGCATGTCTGACAATATGGAAATTTAGTTGCTGAAATTTACTTATTGTGGAGTTCTTGTACGTTGCTGGCAGCAGCATCCCGGCCTAAAGAAAATAATAATATTAACAAAGACCAATATATAGAGCCCCCCTAAACTTTTTCAAAAAAGTAATTCATATAGACACCATATCTTAGGGTCTGAACTATTCAACGCCTAAAGCTGGGAAATATTGTGCCTATCAAAACACATACTGCTGACATGGAACAGTAACCAATTTGGAAGCATGCAATTGCTCTATGTTACATAACAAAGTATATGCTCTCTGGAAGTGGAAACTATGAAACTTCACTTTCAAAAATGATTTCCGCCCATTGTCTTTTAATTTTCCTTCGAAAAACTATGTTTGAGATTTGGTTAGTGGTCATCATCTTCTCTCCTTTTATTTTTTTGATCAGGCCATTGCATCATCCTTCTTTTAAGTAGTCATATCTTTTTTAAAATATGGTCCCTCAATGGAAGCCTCTTCATGAGATATCAGAATCGTCCAATCTCAACCAACTTCTTCATGTTGGCAATTATGACTCCAAGCTCAACTTGCCGTATTTCCCCAGGCAAAGTCAAATTCGATAAAACAGCTACTGAAAATTAGGCCATAAAAGTCTTACTTTTCTATATTAATTTCATCAGGTTATTTTTATGGTCCCACAACTATTGGATATTGATCAAGCTACTTCTGTTATCAGAGCAAGAAAGTGAGGAAATCACAATGTACTTCAGAGCAAACAATTATTTGCAGTCATGTTCTCATTAGGAGGAAATCGCTCTCACTGGCCAATACCAATGAAGTTCTACTCCCCATGGTCAAACTTCCATGTACCTCCATGTTAGGCGAGAAAGTCTATGGAGAAAAGCTTCAGCATGACCACAAAGAGGAGCACGACTAATCCTGCCTAATGAGCTGAACATGAAGGGCGAATCGAGACAGTGGCTACTTCAATTGTATATGGCTGGTAAGCTCCAGCAGACAGCAGTAGAGGAGAAACAAAAAAAAAGAACAATGTCTTTATCGTCCCGTGTCGTTTTTTTTCCTTACTAATGTGTGTTAATTTCATTTGTTTCATTTGCCACGTCCCAGCAAGTGACATTCACACACTTAAGGTTGTTCAGAGTTGTCAAATATGTATTAAATAGACATATTTTTGATAACATAAGTTGTTCAAATATGTAGGACATCTAGTTCAAGTGTATATGAAAAATTCAGACAAGTTTAAGTGTTTGTCTATGTGTTTGGCCCAATAACAACAACAATAATAATATATGTCACTGCCCGTGACATTCACACACTTTCAGTTGTGTAGAATTTTAAAATATATGTATCTATCTAAAAGGCAGACTTTTGACGACATAGTAAGTTTAATAGGTCGTACACCTAATTTAAGTATCTATATGAGAAACTCAGTCAAGTTTGAGTGTTTGTCTATGTATTTGGCCTTATAACAATAACAGTAATAATGATGATAATAACAATAATAAAGTAAAAATAAAAGGTGCACATAATAGAAGGAATCATTTACTTCAACCACGTCGATAGTTGCTCAGATACTGGAAAAATGATCCAGGTACCTCTTTGTTTCCTTTAACTTGCAATCTCATCCAACTCCACATTACCAAAAGTATTCTTCTAGAGAAATTTTTAGTTATTCTTATCATTACAAGTCAAAATCTAGTACAAGCTATGTTTCATTCATTTCTTGTGTTCTCACTTTTGTATATTCAAGTTTATTTGTTCACCCACATCTTCTAGCACAATCTCATTGCAAAATACAGCCAGATAGACACAATCATAATATATTATGCAGTTATCTATCAGACATGTTCCATGTCTCACTGTTTTTTTTCTCTTTTTTTGACATTGGCAATTGCTTCTATTTCTTTAACACAACACATGGGTTTTACTGAAACCATATTTACAAAATATCTCATAAACCTACTGTCCTATCTCTATAATGAGTCTAAGACATCAATGATAGAGACGGTATCATAAGCGTATATACTTGCCCCAAAAATATTAAGTCAAAAATCAAAATACAATTCATTATGACTAGTTGTATAGTGTTCTCCATATTCTCAAAAACTCTAAGGTTCTTCTCTTTCCATATTGTGCACCATATAGCTGCAGGTACAATTCTCTTGTTGTTCCTATTCTTAGTTGTACTCCTGCTTCTTCCAAACTATGTAATGCTTCTATGATTTTCCCAGGCATGGACCAAGATATGTTGAGACTTTGGAATAATCTCCTCAGTTGACTTTGTGACCTTGCAATGTATAAATAGATGGACCATTGTTGATGCAATTTTCCCACAGATAAAACATCTGAAACATAAAGGGATCCCCTTCTTCACCAAGTTATATTGTGTCAGCACAGCTTCCTTAGCAAATAACCAAACAAAGCAAACTACTTTGTGTGGCATTTTGGCTTTCCACATGTGTTTCCAAGGCATTGGAGTATCTGCTGGTTTGGTTGGTTTATCTTCCTATAGGCCACATTTATTTTAGAAGTTCCATTACTATTAACCTGCCACTATAGGATGTCTTGTCCTGCCTTCAAACCACTAAATTGGTCGATGGTGCTGAAGAATTCTGTTACTCTTGGTATTTCCCAATCATAGAGGAGTCTCCGAACACAAATTTCCACCTTCAGGGTGTCCACAATTCTGCTGATGTAAACTAGGTTGTCAATATCTAAGAATAGTCTCTCGATGTTGCCTGCTTCATGCTAATAATCCTTCCAAAATAGTTCTAACTCCATCTGCCACTTTGATTATGGTATTAGCTTTGAATCCATTCCACAAAATCTGGTAGATTTCTATAAGCTAACACCATAAGATCAGTGGCAGATCCAGGATTTTAACGTCGTGGGTGCTCCCCTGACTACTGATTATTGTTACAAAATATAAGTAAACAAATCTATGACTTGTCATAAAATAGACAATCAAATTAAAATACAGTAGCAAAAAATATTAATACAATAATACTATGATAAATATTATTTGAATAATGAAAAAGTTACATGATGCTAATATATCAACTCCTCCAAGCTCGGTTGTAAGTACAGGCAGATCAAGCAGGAGTTTCTACTACTAAACTAATTACTAGAACTACTTGTAATAAGTTAGCCTGTTTTGGTAACCTATCTGTAATCACTAGTACTTGTGATTGTGTAGCCACTTAATTATATTATATAAAATATCCTTTTTATCCAAAAAAAAAGTGTAAAAAGAACAATCAACACAAGGAGAGAAAAATAAAAGGTCAATAGAAGAGCTGGTATTTAAAATATCAACTCCTCCAAGCTCGGTAATAGCTATAGTACAGGCAGATCAAGCAGGAGTCTCCACTACTAAACTAATTACTATAACTACTTGTAATAAGTTAGTCTGTTTTGGTAACCTAGCTGTAATCACTAGTACTTGTGATAATGTAGCCACTTAATTATATTATATAAAATATCCTTTTTATCCAAAAAAAAAATGTAAAAAGAACAATCAACAGAAGGAGAGAAAAATAAAAGGTCAATAGAAGAGCTGGTATTCAAAATAGTTAGAAAAATAATGCTTACAGTGAGAATCGAACCAAGATGCAAATGCAATAATCAAACTTAAGCACCCACAATGACCACTGAACCAAATGACTACTTGTGCACTGGGTGCTCATGTTTATATTTTATATCATTCTTTCAATTTTTTATATAAATATATATAGTCCGATACGAAATTAATGGGTGCTCGCTTAGTTGCACGGACTTTACTTTTGATGCCGCACCCGTCTCGGATTCTTCAAAAACACACTTTTGGTGAATCCGACACTAACCCGTTGGCATTTTGAAGAGTCCGAGCAACATAGGGTGCTCGAGCACCCGAAATGTCCAATGTGGGTCTGCCCCTGCATAAGAAGTCGTGACCTCCTTGGTCATCCAGTTATCATTCTCATCATATTTAACTTTGATGATTGTGCCCCATGGATTCTGATTCTCATTTGAATATTTCCATAGCCATTTAATTCTTAAAGCTTTACACTGATTCTTGATTTCCAATCACCAAAATCTCTTCTCATTGACCTTTAATTTGACTAGATGGTACCCCTTCTTGTCTTTGTTCCCTTTCCATAGAAATTTCCTCCCAATGCTACCCAAATAAGCATCCAACTTATCGACGATTCTTGTTGGGGCAAGACATAATGACATCATGTATGCTGGAAGTGCATCAACACACAGTTTATCAAAGGCAATCTTCCACCTAGTGAGAGATATTCGGACTTCCACCTTGCGAACTTCTCACATTTTTCAATCACCCCATTTCAGATTTCCGTTGACTTAGACTTGGCCCCAAAGGCAATCCGAGGTAGATAGTTGGTAGAGCACCCACTTCAGCCCCTAAGATTGTCTATAAGATTTTCATGTTTGACACTTCATTAACTGCATACATGAAGCTTTTCCTCGCGTTAACACCTAAATCTAACATTTCTTCAAATATTACCAAGATCAGTCTCAGTATTTTGAGATGCTCCTCTTCGGGATCACAGAATATAAGTGTGTCATTTGCATAGTGAAGGTGAATTATCTTCAAGCTATTCCTTCCAGCTCTAGCAACCTCAAATCCTCTTAGCTAGTCTTCCCTAATTGTTGTCTTAATCATTAGTTCTCCCAGCAACTGTTTGATCCAGACTAGCTCACGAGTTGCTATAGCCACTGCTAGACATTCTGCTTCTGCACTTGATCGAGCAACCACACTTTGTTTCTTACTTTTTCAAGACAATAAATGACCTCATGGGCTCGATCTCGAATAGTAGTCCTTTACCTAAAGCTGACTTTATATATCGCAAAATGCGAACAATCGCATCCCAATGACTATCACATGGGGAAGTCATAAATTGACAGGTTAGTACAGATTGCTAAAATGGTCAGTATTTTCAATCAAAAAAACTAGACAACTTCTCATGAGTCTGATAAATGTGTAAAACATGAGCAGACTAACTTGCCAAATACTGGTTTGAGCTTGAATGCAATCACAGTGCAAGCAGTCAACATTGTCTGAAAGAATAACTACCTAACCTAACACAGATTAGTGTACAGTACTAAAGATCATCTCTTCCTGTTGAGACATCCTGACAAATTCAGCAATCTCAAAGTCTCAAACTTACTTGAAGTAATAATCAGTCTACTGTAACACAGAATGGCACACAGACATGAGGAAATCTCACTATTTGTTTGATTCTTGACAAAAAGAAACAACTAAGTAAAGCTGAAAAAGTCATTTTGACAAATTCACTTAAATGGGACAAACTTTAGATCAACTTAAGAAGTAGGAGAGAGGCATACCTTCAGCTTCTGTGTATCTGAAGAAGTCCTGGACGGAGATCAGTTTTTTCTTGTCAGGATGGTCTTTACTAGGTCGTCCTAACTGAGGCAAGAGCTCAATTAATTCTGTTATTGAAACTGTGGACAATGTTGATCTCAAACGCTCAACATTGGATAATGGAATACTAAGCAAACCACTAGCTAAACTTCTTGCGGAATTTCCAGTGCTCTCTTCTTGACCACTAATATCATTAACACCATCTTCTCTGTCCTCTCTCGCAGAAGAATCTACATCAACAATACTTGAAGGAACACCTCCTACTCTTGCAAAATTCAGATTCCCCAGAAATCCATTGACATCAGCTCTTTTACCCTCTAAAATACTGACTAGTACCTTAAAATGATCAAGCTGATTGGCAGGCGGAGGAATTTGATTGAACTCGGTACTGTGGCATTCCTGTTGTGGGACTCCTAAGTCAAATTTTTGAAGATTCAAAGCTACTTGATCAAAAAGAAAACCTAGAAAGCACTCAAAAGATAAATTATTTTCCTCTTTGTGCTTCACTCGGTCACAGTTATCCATAACAACCTGATCACTTGACTTCTTTTCCTTCACATCATTTACCCTCAGATTACCTTTCAGGTCATCCCGAACAGTATCCTGATTCACCTTCTGAAACCGCTTTTTCACAGTCTTAAATGGGATAGGAACAGCCTGAACAAAACCATTCATCAACAATGACCAAGCAACATCAAACTGCAGACAGTTGACACAGCTCCCATCCCCTTTGCCACCACCATACTTCTCCTTCAACCCTTTCCTGACCACATTACCCCCTTTATCAACCTGCCCATTATTCCCAAACATTCCAACAAACATCTTAATCGGTAACTTTATCAACAAGCCTTTCTTTTTCTCATCACTAACCACCCCTTGCTTACTTGCACTAATTTTCTTGACATCTAATCCATACCCACTACTAGTACAACTCTCAGCTTTACCAGGCCAACAATGCTCAAAATCCTTTGCCACTTTCTTAATACCTGACTCTATAGGCGAAAACGCATTCTTAACCAATTGTACTGAATTCCGAAACGACTCAACAGGGTCTCCAGTGCCAGACGCCACCATCACTCAACACCTTGTTACACCACTACAAAAATCAATCGAACTCAGTAACAAAACACAAAAATTCAAAATAAGAAACAGATCCACATATAAACCCTAACTGTAGTACAATTCAAACACAAAAAATCAATTCAACCCCATTCATATAGATAAGATAATGGTGCCAAAAGTGAGAGCTGTCTGTACAACTGTTATATACACAGAAATTATAGATTCTTTGAAAATGGAGAAATGTCTTTCTAATGTTGTTTTGCCTAAAAATGTTATCCAACAGGATTTTAGAAACCACTAAAATTCCGAAGATGTGATCTGTGAACGGTTTTCTTATTTTATTCTTTTAAGAGAATAAACAGGAAAAAAAGCCTTTTTTTTTCTTTAGATTATATCAACATAAAATCATTGGACATATGATAATCTTAGAAATTAGAAAAATGACAGGAATAGCCCTACTACAAGGAGATTTTTAGTTTGTACAAAAACTATAGATGATTGATACATTTGGCATTTGCATAGGGTCAATGGAGTGGTTTGAGTTTATTGCACGATTAACTATATTTGGAATATATAATGAAAAATAGTCTCCTCCCTTTGTTTCTTTTTAGTTCTATTGTTTTTCAAAAGTCAAATTAATTAATTTTTAAATTTAAATTAAATTATATTAATTTAATATTTTAAATTAAAAAATTAAATATTTAAAAATTATATAAAAATATTATAAATTACAATATTCGCATTTTAATATAATGAGAAAATATATTATAAAATATTAATCAAAATTCTTATTGTTTAATTTGAAAAAAATTATAACAACCAAAAAAATATTATTATATTTCAAAGAAATAAGATCACTTGTTCACTCGCAAATTGAACAAAAAAATAACATTTTTTTCACATTTTATAAAAACAAAGATCTTTTACTTGTAAAAATTAAAATTTCTTATTAAAAAATCATAATTTAAAACTAAAAAAATTGTAAATAACCTAAACAAAAAATCGCTCTTATTTTCTTTTTCTTTTTTTCAAGTGATTTTTGAAACTTTATTTTTGTTTTATTTAATTTATATATATTTTTGTAGGTGAGGATTTGGATAATGACTGGGGTAAGAGGTGAGTGTGGATAATATTGAGTGACGTAGCATCTAGTGGGAAATGGGACAAATCTTTTGGCATTATGTGTCCCTTTGTGTACTTGTTTAGACGCATATGGAATTTAGTTCCCATGCAATACTTGTATAATTTATATTTATCATCGTCGATTCATTTTGTTTGTCATTTTTTTAGAAAATCTTATTCTCATTGTTTCAACTAGTATTTTTAGCTTGGATATCTAGAAAGTAAGATTCATTTTTCATAACTTACTCTTATTTTGAAAATGATGTAACTCTATTATAGTTTTTTGGTTAAATTAAAATTTTCTTTTTTTAAATAAAGATAAAATTGAAACAAAAACATAGTTAATGTCAATGGAGACTTACGACTTCTGAATTTATGTCAAGATGCTCAATTACCGAAGTCGTTCATCTTGTAAGGAGATTGGTGGGGTATCATACGGAGAGGAGGAAGGACTTATACATGGTATTAATCGACCTAGAAAAGATTTACGACAACATTCCAAGGGAGGATCTATGGAGATGCTTGAAGGCTTAGGTGTGCTTATGGTGTATGTAAAGTTGATCAGGGACATGCACGATGAAGCTTAGACTAGGTGAGGACAATGGGAGGAGACTTTGAGTACTTTTTAGTTTTTTGATGGAGTTGCATCATGGAACAACCTTTAGCTTATTAATATTTGTCTTGGTGTTTGATGAATTGATGCGGTAAATATAAGTCCAGGTTCCATGGTATGCCTTATTTGCGGAGATAGAGTTCCAATTGACAAAACTCGTGGTGGAGTTGGAGATAAACCATGGAGTCTAAAGGGTTCATGTTGAGCAGAATAAGATGGAATGCTTGGAATGTAAGTTAAGTAACATAACAGATGATATTGTTTCACTCATCGTATTGGTGCAGGGTGAATGAAATAGAGATTTGCATCTTGAGTCTTGTGTAATAAGATGTCACCGAAACTTAAATACAAGTTCTATTCTTAGACCAACTATGTTCGATGGGGTAGAGTACTGACCGGTCAAGACATCTCACATAAAAGATAAAAGTTGTGGAAATAATAATGGTGAAATGGTTGTGTTAACATACGAAAAGAGATAGTGCAACACCCCACAACCTCTATGTAAAAATCCAAATCATTCTCCATATGCATTTACCCAAACACAGCAATTTCTACAAACTTATATGTTAAGCTAAACTTTAAGTTAGGAGAGTGTATTACATGTGAATTAGGGTCATAAAAAATCTCTAGAACTAAGTCGAGTTCAAAGCCTTCCTACATGAGATCATGTAGGGATCAACTTTAGACAAACATGTCTCTCTAGAATATAAAGACTTGTGTGTCCTATTACTTATTAAATTAAAGGTATTTGGATCATGATCTTTCCAATGGCACCAACTGTTCAAAATTTTGAGGCAAGAGTAAAAAACACATTATAATCAATTTACCAGAGATGTTTCATGGTGTATGTCGATAGTAAGAAACTCCCTGGTAAAAGTTCATTATTTTTGTAAACTTGAATTATCATCATGGTTCTTCTAAGTTATGACAATTCAAATCTAATTTCAGTTCAAGGCTACAGAAATAGACTTACTATTATACAATTGAAAGCAAGTTTTGAAATGATATTCTTACACTCGTTTTAAAATGTCTTTCATTATATCACTACATTTATGGTTATTAAATACTAATCAGTTCTTGCTACAGGTTACCCGAAATGATTATGTTGAGTGTCATCTTATATACTCGATATATATTTCACGTACAAACTATATATTTTCTCTTCGATGCATCCTATTATGATATAGATTCTTGGCTAGCAAGTTATATCTTTTTCGGTTAGCAGTTGGTGAGTCCTGCTCATTCAGGGACTTCATGGAGTAGCCAATAGCTAGGTTTTTCATTATGACAGTTTTTTTTTGCTTTGAGGCAGATGGGGCCATTGCTTAAAAAAGTTATTTCTTCTCTCATTCTAGTTAGTGAAGGCTTTAACTTAAGAAATCAGTTGTTTAATTCCATGGATTTTTAGTCATTTAATTCGGATATTACGCTAAGTATTTGCTTTAGTTGATTATGTTATAAATTTAGCATGCACTTTATAGAATGTTAGTTAAGTTATTAGCAGAATGCTAGTACTAAGGGTCTCTTTGGGGTTATTCGTGATTCTAAGTGATTATCAGAACTAGGATGTAAACTTGAATCGTGAAAAACTTGGTATTAGAGCATTAGGTTCAAATGTCATCGAATGTCTAAGAAGTTGTATTCAGTAGAGTTTTTTTCCATAGTTGTGAGACATGTCACACATATGAGTGAGAGGCCATAGAATGTCTTAAGAAATATTACCCTTCTTTTTATGTTCTTAGTCATGCTATAGAGTTTAACTATGTTTTCTTATTTTATTTTATGTTTCAGATCATGACTCCATGAAGATTTATTCGTCGTACAATGAATATTATAAATGGAGCATGTCTCGTTGAATGAATTGGAATTCTCAGTTGCCACTAGTGCTAGTTGGACCAAGGGGTACAATGCACATGTTATGCAGCTTTGTCGTGCAAATATTGCAAACATTGAGTCTCACAATGCCATTTCATATGGTTTCTCATGCAACAAAAATTTAGTTTGCCATCAAAGAGTAATCTCTACAGATCGTTAGGTTATCCAGACACTTCTAGGATACAAAATTTCTTAGGATGAATCTATCTGAGTTCATCAAGTCAAAGCTTAATGAGGATCCAGAAAACTTTGTTGAAGAGGTTTAGAAGTTCTTTCATGTGGTGCATGTGGGTGAACTAGAGAACTTTGAGCTTTCCACTAACCAACTTAAGGATGTCGCAAGAATATTTCTTAATTCGTCGAAGAAGATTAGGGGCGAAAATGTCACCCCTCCAAGGTGGGTTATTTTTAAAAACACCTTCTTAGGGTATTTATTTCCTCAAATGTTGAGAGAGGATAAGACTCAAAAGTTTCTCAATCTAGATTAAGGTTTTATGAGTGCAAGAGTACAATCTTAAGTTCACATAGTTGTCTCGCTAGGTTCCAAAGATGGTAACTAATATGAGGAACATGATGAGTTTGTTCGCGTCTAGACTCTCCTAACTTTTGAATAAAGAAAAAAAACAATGATGTTGATTAGGGGTATGGACATAGCCAAACGATGATTATTGGACATGAGGTTAAAACAATACGTTAAAGGAGATATAGGAGTTCCATAATAAGAGGGAAAAAACATCAAAGTAAGAGTTTAGTCTACAAAGGATTGAAAATGGGAACTAATCATCTTTTAGCAGAGGTCATCTGGACGAGCTACATTTTCAGCCATTGTACCAACACCTAAACATAGAAATGTTTAGGGAGGAAAAGAGTTTGACTCTCAATATCATGGCATTGTTGTTGAGGGGTATCCACCTTACCTATTTGCAACAATGGTGGTAATAATCACCCTGATGAGTGTCTTTATGGTAGGGATGTGTGCTATAAATATTGGCAAGCAGGTCATGCACTAAAGGATTTCCCCTCAGCAAGGCAGGGCAATGGGGGTAACAGAAGTTGAGACCCCATATCTTAGGCAAGTTCTCAAAAGTCTTTCTATATGATCTTCTCGAAGTCCCCCCGAACAAAGAGATATACGTTAGGATAGACACTTTTCCTCACATGCATCGATCATATCTCTATTACTCTACATAGAATGGATTCAGTTGAGTTACATACATTCAATGAATAGTTGAAAAACCCTCCTAGATAAGGTATTCATTAGACCTAGTATTTCCTCATAGGGTGCCTAGTACTTTTTGTTCGTAAAAAGATGATTCTCTCACAATGTTTCATTGACTACCGCCAATTAAATATGGTCACAATTAGAAATATGTATCTCCTTCCCATAATTTTTATCTGTTTGACCAAATTTAGGGTGTCACTTGTTTCTCTAAGATTGATCTCATATCTAGATACTATTAGTTGAAGGTTAGAGAGTGTGGCATTCTGAAGACAACCTTCCAAACTCGACATGGTCATTATGAGTTTCTTGTTATATCATTTAAACTAACAAATCATTAAGTAGTTTTTATGGACCTCAGGAATAAAGTTTTCAAATAGTTTCTCAACGTGTATGGTATTTTTTTCATACATGATGTCTTGATTTATTCCCACAGTGAGAAGGAGCATGTTGGTCACACTAGAATTTTTTCATCAGGTCCTCGAGGACAAAAAAACCCGTCACTAAATTCTCTAAGTGCAAATTTTGGTTGAGATTAGTTACATTTCTTAGGTATGTTGTTTTTGGTGAGGGTATTCATGTTAAATCTCAAAAGATTGAGCCAGTGAAGAACTGGCCTAGGCCCACTAGTCCAAAGAACATTAGGAGCTTTTGGGGTTTAGTCGGTTGCTATAGAAAATTTGTTGAAATATTCTTTC